TAAATACTTATACTTTTTAAATACAGTGGTTGTTTTGTACTCTGATTACTATAATGCATGTGTTGTGATACTACAAATGAAGTCCTCCACCCCCTGACGTTTCCGCCGTCTGGTTTGGGGGGGTGACATCATGGAACCTCTCATAACCCAATCAGATACACTCTTCGACAATGCTATTATTCTGGGTGGAAGTACCTATCTAGGGTGATTGGTAAATGTCTTGGACATAAGACTGGAAGCTTAGATAAGTTAAACTTATTTGAGCAACGAATCTTGTACGCCATGACTTGCAACAAAAGACTGGATTTTGCTTAACTATTCTTCGATCAACTAGTTAAATGTGTTACTGGGAACAAGAAGTCAACATATGTTTCTTATCCTCATTGGCTTGGACTTATTCTAGCTCATAATGAAGAGGGTTATAATGTCAATCATTGAGTCATCATTACGATTCCAGTTCTCTCATCAAAGATCATCAATACTGGTCCCTCTAATGGAGATATGCATCTTACCAGAAGTATGGAAAATGGGTTGCCAATACATATGTTGTTGAAACATCAAACTCTAAAGAAGAAGATGATGATGGAAATAATCAAGATGATGAAGAAGGCACCGATGATGAGGAAAGCACTGATGATGAGGAAGACACTTGTGATGAAGAAGACGTTGATGATGAAGAAGATGAATTAGCCGCTGATAAAGGAGAAGCCTATGTTAAAGGGATGACTAAATCTCCTCCAATATTGAGCCAACGTATTCACTTCTCCTCAACTCCATGTTCATCTACAACTCCTTCTGTAGAAGATTTTATACAACACTGATCAACCCTACCTCAAGTGGATACTACTGATCCACTGATTCAAGATGTGAATTCTCCAAGATCAGTGTCTCCTTCCCCTCAAGCTGAAACTATTCCCCTAATGCCAACTCCTCTTCACACGGTTTCTGCTATGCTCTCTTAGCTCTCCCTATTAGTTCAGATGACTCAATCTTTTGGAGAAAGACTATCCAAAGTAGAGAAAGATGTGGCTGACATCAAACTCTTAATGACTTTGGTTGATGATGATGATATGCTGATTGAAGACACTCCTCCTAGCTCTCCAGGTAGTAATCCTCCACCTACACCTCCTTCATCAAATCCACCTCCACTACCACCTTCATCATCAAATCCCCCTCCTTTTACTCCCTCTACACCTCATGAATCCCCTCCCCAAATTGATGATGCCAAAAGGGAGAGAATAATCAGGAAGGGATGATAATCAAAAAGCAATTATTGTAGCTGAACAAGAGAGCAATGATCAGCCCATTCCAGACGTTGATGCAACAAATGATGAACAACCTATTCTAGACGCTAGTGACCAGTCAAAGACTAATGAGTATGAATGGTTTCTTGATTTGGGTTTTATGGCACACACAATTGTTCCTCTAAGTGTTGTTTACCCTGATTCATACTTTGAGGGGGGGGGGAGGGATTCCTCAATGAACCAATAACAACATTGAGTCTGATAATGATCAACTCAATCCTAGAAAAAGAAAGGCTTCCTTCTCATGGGGGAGCAAATGTTGCTGAAGCTGGAAGTTCTTCAGCCGCTGGTAGTTCCCCGGCTCCTCCTCCTTCCAAGAAAAGCAAGTTAACAGTTAATTTGAAAGAACTGGCTGAGAACTGGGAAATAACTATTGAGGAGGTCAGAAAAATTATGTTGGAACATAATTTTACGGTTCGAACAAGAAAAGAGGAATGTCGATCTATCAAACTTGTCTAGAAGCTTGCATCAGTTAATTCTCAAGAGACCAATATTCATCATTTCAATATTGATGTGGCCAAATGAAACAAATTCTTTGAAGTGAATGATCGAATCAATCGAAAGAAACTTGAGGGTGTTCTAGGTAGAAGATACCAACCTGATCTCATCATCAAATTCAGATGCACCAAACCGAAGAATGAATCTCTTAAATTACATCTGGTCAGGAAAAAGGCCTAGTATGAATACACTGAAGTTATATTCAGTCGTGAATTGGTTAAATATGGCTACAACGAGTGGATACAAATTTAGGATATAATTTCTAAACACAAAGGTGCTCATTCTCAGGAGGTAAAATTGGCTATTCAAACCCTGGTCAACAAATTCAAGAAGCTAAACTTAGTGCCTTCAGTTGGTCCATCTTAGCCATCTACCTCATAAAGAACTAGAAAGCCTAGAATGCCAAAACACACTAAGTTTCTTCTTTCGTATGACACTCCCTACATCGACAACAAGCTACCAGTAGGTGTTGATCCAATTCAACACATGCTCATTTGGGAACCAGAAGATGATATTTTCTATCTTGACAGTCAGAGTAAAATGTGTTTTCAATGCACTACTGACCTCGATGCCGCTCCCACTAAGCATTTGTTCAATCTTTGTTTGGAAGGCTTACTTCACAAAGAACTAGAAAGAGGATATCATGTGTTGATCTCCCTTGAAGTCAGCAAACGTTTGGCTGATCTTCAGCTTGACGAATTCAATTAGGTAAAGCCTGCGATATTGACAGAGGAAGACAATTTCTCAAATATCAATTTTAAAGACTCTCTTGAAAATTTGTTTTGACATTATCATATGGGGGAGATTTTAAGGTCACACCATATGATTTGAGGAGTCAAACACTACACGCTGACCACCAGCGCCAGTGTCAGCACCAGATCTTATCAACATCAGCGTGAACCAATGATCTTGGTGATCTTATTCATATTAGGCAGTTATATTTATATATATAATAGATATTTGATATGTAATCTTAGTGATTAGGATCAGACCTTTACTTAGATGGGTATACATCCCTTAATTAGTGGGATATCAGTTATTGTAATCGTATATAATCAACATTAGGGTGAAACCCTAATGTATGTCTTGGTGACCATATTTGTGACCTCGTTCTCTTGGTGAAAACGTTCTTTCTTAGTGAAATCATCCTTGTGATTACTTTTGTTCTTTTTTTTGTTTGATCTTTACTTAGTTTGTCTATTCATTGTTATTCATACTTGAGTATATCCTATCGATACAAACATTCATAT